ACGTACTTCATATCAGACTGCTACCTAGATTTGAGAAAGACTCTGCCTACTCAGATCTAACTTATAGGAAAACACGCTTCTCAAAATCAAGCCCATGACATGTACATATGACTCTCCTTGTAGCAAGGGAGGTGGAGGGAGGGCAGTGTAGAAAGCAAAACCAGGGCGACTTTCACTGCTAACATTACCCTATGCGTACGCGTATGCTTACTGGAGAACTATGGGATGTCTAGTTTTCTGAAACTGAACGGAAATAGAAAGGAGGGAGTTTAAGTTTACTATGTTTAGATGAGCATTAGTTTCCCAGGAGGATTTTCTTCCCTTTTACAGAGCATCACTTCTGAACAGATCAGACTGTAGACATTTTCTAATGCCTATGCCCCAAGATGAGTGGCAAAAGCCACTCATATCCCTTTCCCCCCATCCCCATCTTTCCAGCCATCACCAGGAAAGGGTAGAGAATACATTCTAGTTTGCCATACAAAATTTGAAAGCTGTTTTTCTGGCCTGCAAACATGATATGCTTTTAGACTGTAAAACTGCTGTGTCAGATTGGCTAGATCTCGCATCAGAAGTAGCTTTCAAGGCCACCAGAAAATGTCTTTGGTAAGTGAATTCCTGATAAACAGCTGGCATTATTACAAGTCATAAAAGCTGTTCACTGATTAGTTGCTTTGTTGGGGGAATAGATATAGCTCTCTGGGTATCAGGGCTGCCAACCCAAGATTTTTTTTTAACTGACACTGCAAACTTTAACACTGTTTTATACAATGTAAATATAATCTTTCCTCCAGACCCTGGACAAGGGCTGGTGTTAAATCCCTACATTTGAACCCAACCATAGTAAAAAGTCATTACTGACTCCAAGATGAACATGGGCCAACAATACAAGAACACGGTCAGTGGGGCTAACTGTACCTTGTCCTGCATCCACAGATGCATCACAAGCAGGGCCGAGGAGGTGATTCTCCCCCCTACGCGACACTGGTCAGGCCGCAGCTGGAGTACTGAGTCCAGTTCTGGGCGCTGCACTTCAGGAGGGATGTGGACAACATGGAGAGGGTCCAAAAGGAGGGCCACTCACATGATCTAGGGACAGCAGGACAGACCCTATGAAGAAGCTATGGGACCTTACCCTGTTCAGCCTTCGCAAGACAAGGCTGAGGGGGGACCTGGTGGCCGTCTATAAATTTACTAGGGGGGGACCAGTGGGGTTTGGGAGAGACCTTGTTCCCCCCGAGCGCCTCCCAGAGTAACAAGGAATAATGGCCATAAGTTGCTAGAGAGCAGGTTTAGACTAGACATCCGAAGGCACTATTTCAGTCAGGACGGCTAGGATCTGGAACAAACTTCCAAGGGAAGTGGTTATTGCTCCTACCCTGGGGGTCTTTAAGAGGCAGCTCAGCATTTACCTGGCTGGGGTCATTTGAGCCCAGTTCTCTCTCCTGCCCACAGCAGGGGGTTGGACTAGAAGATCTACAAGGTACCTTCTGACTCTACATCTATGAACCTATGAATTTATTTTGACTCAAGTGCTGGTTGGTAACCAAAGGAATATCTTTAGAGAGAACGTTTAATGTGAGCATAAGCTATACCTGTCTTGTGCAAATTTATACACAGGCCTACTGCATATAGTTTACTATTGCAGCAGAGTACCTTCCACTTATATACGGTTTATTCTCTCATCCTCACGGAGAAAGTCATGAAATGCAAATATGGGATTTGGGGGCAATGGAAAAAAAGGGAACAAAGTAATTTTAGTGCATTTATATTAAGTTTATGACTGTGGTCTGTGTGTTAGAAATCCAGAGCTACTACCCTGAAGTATGGAAAGTTTCAACACTTCTTTAGTCTTAAAACTTTAATAGTAAAATTAAGCGAATAGAGAACTTCCTGTTCAAGACCTGCAAAACCAAACAGAGCTATTACCAAAACTAAGCAAGCTGCATATTTGCATTAGCCAAACCATTAACTGATAAAACAGAACACTAAGGCATACTCAGACCCTTCCTTTGGTTACCCTAAGAAAATTAAAGACACTTTACAAATTTGTCATCACAAGTGTGTAACAAATGCAGAATCAAAAAGGCAAGGTAGAGACATTTTGGGTGCGCTTACATGTGGCCCTACAATGCCTTTGCTACTGCACCATCATTTAGTACTTCCTTTTGGAAGCACGAAAGGACAGCACAGTAACAGCCTGTACTGTACTGTGCCTTGCCATGCACAGTTATTTTGGGCCGCTACGTCACCACAGCAATGCACTATAGAGGGAACGTGTTGCTACGGCAACATAGCAGTGGCATCAGTTTTTGCCAATGGACACTACAGCACAGTAGCATCCTATGTAGACATGCCCTTTGTGTATGTTCCAATGTATTACCTTTTTTTTTTTTTCCCCTATGAAACAAACCCTGCCCTTTATGGCTAACATTTTTTGCAGGCAAGGCTTTCCATCATGTGAAAAATTAAGTACCTCATCACAAATAGATCAGATTAACCATCATTTATAAAAAAAAAGCTACAACTATCATTAAATCAGAACAGGTTCTCTATCAAGGTACAAACCCTACCATGTTTTCACAAGTTTCAGTTTGTACTATTAGTAGCAGGGGCTGGCAACTCCTGTACCAGAAATAAAATTTACTCCCACATTATCGTAAGAATGGAAGGGGGAGAGGGGGCGGGAGAGGGAAAGGGAGCAGCCAAAAATGTTTAGCAAGTCCTGGATTCTCTTTACTTACCAATCTGGGCAGAATGTCCTCTTCTAGCCATGTTCTTAGATCTCACTGCTTCTTTAATGCGGTCTACCTCTTGCTGATATCGCTTACGATCGCGAGATGCATTTTCTTTGGCTTCCTTCAGTGCCGACTCCAAAGCTTTAACTCTCTCAGCTGTAGCTCTAAGTCGTTTCTCCAGTTTAGGAAGCTCACAGCGAAGATCTGCATTATCACGTACCAGCTAAGAATAAGCAAGACATATTTTTCTCTGAAAAAGCAAGTTACTTTCACCCTGCTGTAGTGTAACCCTAAAAGAAAGGGCAATGACTTTGATCCAACTTTTATTTTATAAACTTATTTGGTTTAAGTATTTCAGTAACAAAATCCCTTTTCAAAAACTACTCACTACACAACAAATATCACGTAAGTCTAAATTACTCTTAAAGACTTTCAAAGACTATATTAAATGTACCTATTTATTTTATATTAAAAATTGGAGTTAAGCATCCAAGAGAAATGACGATCCCTTACTTGCACGAACTATTCCAGATACAAAATAAAACACTCAACCATTATGCTTCTGTGCTGCAGCTTGAATAAGCAAGTCTTACTGTACCTGTTTGTGGACTTTTGTGAGCTGCTCAAGATTATTCTCGAGGAAGGAAATTTTCTGTTTTTGTGCAGCACTGCCTCCTGTTTCATCTGAGTCCATCTCTGCGCTCTACAGTGATAACAAAATAAAATAATAATATATGGAAGTCCAGATTTCTAATTAACACCTGAACCATTAGAGCTATATTAAATGCTTCATTTATTTCTACTTTTAAATGCATGCAATGTATGTTCACAAAAGGAATAAGCCTTAGTATTATGAGTTACCTTTTTAACTCTGGTAGCTAGATCTTGAACAAAAAGCTTCCGAAGGTTGTGCAGAGTTTGAAGTTCTTTAGCCTAAAAATGAACAAACAAGTTCTCATGGTTTTGAGTTCTTAACCTGAATAAAAAGGTTAATTGGCATTTGCTTCTGAACATACTATACTTACCACAGTTTCTTCCAAACCCTTCAGATCTTGCCTTGCTTGTTCTCGTCTGTCCTGCATAACCCTGAGTCAAAGAGAAACATACAGCTGAATCACTGATGTTTGTCTAGAACAAAACCCACAAGTCTTAAAATAAATATATTTAAGAGGCTCAAGAGAAAAGAGGTGCAATGAATTATCATGCTAGTTTACCTTTGAAAAAAGTTCTAATTCTACTTCAGATAAAGTGGAAAGGTTTCAGTGGATGTTCTCTTAGATTCCTACTACAAAGTGATGATAACATGTGGAACAAATGGCAATGTAGTCAAAACGAGGGGGCCACGAAGGGAATACCAAGGATGATTGCCCAGAATACAATTTTGTATAGAGTTAAGTCCTTTAAAGATGAAACAACTCAGTCATCTGAATAGGTCCAGGATCAATGCTTGGGGGGAAAAAAAGCCACTTGTTTTTCAAATATTACAAGGTTTGTGAACTTGAGGACACGCCAAAAGGAAAAAGAAAAAACCCATAAACCAAACCCTGGGGAGTGTCAGAAGTAGTAAAGGGACAATAGAGGCTTATTCCAAATGAAAAATTACTTTTCAATGTTGTGCAAGTGTTCATTAGCTTGTATGCAAACCAAGCAATGCATCTTCCATTGCTTAGTCTAATAACTTCAACTATATTGCAGTGACCCTTCTGTTTACAGCTCTTTCTTATGTAATGCAAAAAAGCATTAAATATGCTGCTGAAGCCCTAATGTTTTAATCTCTCAAATTATGTAGGACTGTAACTACAGAGATCAGAAAGAATCTAGAAACTTTATTATGACCAAGGATATCAAGAAGATTCTACAGACAGAATAAGAAAAAACAAAGTGAGAAATCAGCACTTTTATTAGGGAGGAAAAAGTAAAGGTTTGGCAGAGTTTGCAGCTTTATGAAAATCCCCCTGCAGCCTTCTGAAGGAATTGGCTAAACTACTCAAATGATTCCACTATTAAGTCACCACTGCTATTAGAATAATTTCTTCTAATCCCCACCTGTGTTTATGGTGTCACAAAAATGGACATAGAGCAGAGGTGTATTATTTTTGTTTAAAGTTTTGAATTGTTGCAGTTTTATACTTCTAGCTTTAAGCACTGACTTTGGTCTAAGAAAACATCATGCATGTAGACCAGCATAGTTTATGCAATAAAATTCATTTTAATAACTTGCATAACACTAAGTCACCCAATTCTGACATTTTCAATTCATCTCCCTGCTGCCCCCAACTTCAGTTTCAAATCAAGCAGAAACTGCTAGATTAATGCTACATATATAAAACTTAGCTTCCAAACTTCCTATGTAACATAGGAGTTTAACCTGAAAAGTTCAAGATGGTATAAGGAAAAACTGTTGCAATTAAAGCCATGAGCAGACAAAAAATGAAAAAAATCTGAAAGAAATTTATGGACGAAAAAAATTAATTTAACTTCTGATTTACCAGGACTTAAATACTTCACATCACTATAACACTATGGTTTCCACTAGCAGAAGAACTTTTAAGAACATCTGTTGATTTAGGACATTAGTTACTGGGTCTCAGGCAAACCTTTGGTTGACATGCTGTTGCAGGATTTTGTTTTGCATTAGTCAATAACTAATTGGCAGACCTCAGAACTTGGACAAACATAACTTCCTTAACGTTTCAAAATCTTAGGCATACGGAGTTTTACAAGTTTTCAGGAATGAACAATGAACCCTTTTAGGTTTCATCATTATGGAAAATTATTATTATTATTATTATTATACTAATAATAGATCAAAATAGGATACCTTTAACTGGAACTCATTTAAATCAGGCTGTCAATAAAACAATGACTTTAATGCTCTTGTAATCCTTCCCAACAGAAATCTGGTAAAAATCTAGAAGATGCCTTCCGGCCCTAAACCCAGATAAATCAATGAATTCTTGTTCAGTCTTAAAAGACATTCACTAAGCTACTTCTGCCTAAACCAGTTTTAAGATTCCTGCCCTCCACTGATTTCATACAAGCCACCAATTCAATTAAAGAGTTTGCTTAGATTTATAATGAAGTTTATACAAGTTTCAGATCTTATACATACTGGAAAACTATGACTTCACCATTTAAAACTACAAATTAATACAGTTGGTCTGTATAGAGAAAAAAAACTCTACACCTTAAAGACAAAAAAGAAAATTCTAATATAGAATCAAGACTTAAAGTCTGACTTTTATTCTTCCAGGATTGTCTTTATCACTAATATTAAGTAGACCAGACATTCAAACCAACTCATCAGATAACCAATATATGGCAGAAAAGAAACAGTTTTTTTGAAGACTGTTTAAGAATCATGTTAGAGCAAAAGCCAGTTTCCATACCACTTCAGGTCTACATCAGGATTCCAAATGCCCTTTTCATGCCTTAAACATGGATTAGGACAGGGGTTGTCAACCGGAGGTACACATACCCCTGGGAGTACTTGGACTGGTCCTAGGGGGTATGCATGGGTGAGTGGGGACGGAGTGCGGCCACCTCCCAGGAGGTGTGGGGTGGAGTGAGGGCAGTGGCACACCTCCAAGGGGCATGGAAGCTTGCACACAGTGGCCGCCACCACACACCAGCTCGGTGAGCTTCCCCACCCCACAGAGGGGGCACTGCTGCCCTCACCCCAGCCCGGTGAGCTTCCACTCCCCACCCCAGGCCTGCTCTTGGGAGGCAGCAGTGCTCCGTCCCCACCTCCCTGTTCCGTATCCAGCACGCTAACCTCCCCCCTCCCCACTCAGCCATGCACTCCCCACTTCCCCTGCTTGGCATCCAGCTGCTGGGGGTACTCAGACTAAAAAAAAAAAGGGTCGAAAACCCCTAGATTAGGAACTTACGTAAGTTCATGAAGTTTCCTGCTTTTTTCTTGATCTGTAGTTTTCAGCTTCTCATGTTCAACTCTTAGACGTTCCTGCTCAAGCATCATCTTCTGATTTTGGCTGAACATGAAAAAGTCATGATTAACATGTAAATATTTCGATGAGAAACTTCAAAGACATCAAGTCTGAGTCTTTACTATGCTGAAGCACATTTATTAAAACTAACCTATGGTATGCAAATGACTAAGGAGTAAATGGTACAAAAGGAATCTTGTTAAACTGCCTGCCTTAAACTTTGTTTTTTAAATTAGAAATAGCAGCAACTGACTGACTTATGCTGGTTGTATTTACCAGATATGACCCCAAAGTCATCAAATCACATTCAATATGCGCAGTGTTGGAAAGGAGTCCCCTGCTCCTAATTCCGCTGCCCCATAATACAAATCCCTAGTATGTTATCTTTCTTTTATTAGTGGATCAGACTTTCCCACATGCTAAATATTTGTTTTTTCTTAAATCACCCTTGGGCAAACCATAAGTCTGAATACCAGACTACTGAAAGAGGGATGACACTCACTTTGCTTAATTTTGAGTAAAATACTGAAGGTAGTGAACTGTTCTACTCACTGCTACAAAAGGGTCAATGACTTGACTTCAGAACTATAAATATATTCAAGTCCTAATCAAATAAATGAACCCAAATAAATATTTAAAGTAATTTCGGAATTTGTTAAACTACATGCCAAGCTATTTTCCTCAAAAGTCTAATATTTTAAAAGTAAAAGCGATGTCCAACTTTTACTATCACAATTCTTACTCTTGGAGTTCAGTAATAAGTTTCTCCTTTGCATCAACCTCATCTCGCAGGCTGCTAATTTGTTTTTGATGGGTCTCACGGTGGCTCTGAATCTGCTGCTCAACTGCTTGCTATAAAACAACAACAAAAAATTTAGTTTGGTACTTAAAATATGAAGTTTTATGTAAACTAACAAAGAACAACAACAACAAAAAAAAATAGCTAACTTGCCTTGACTTCATTTGCAGTTTGGACTTTATTTAAGTGCTCCTTCTCCATTTCATGAACTTTTTCTACAGAAAAAAAACAAACAAACAAGTTTTCAGCTCAGGTATTTAGGTAGTCATAGGGAGGACCAAGATAAAAATATTCTTCTTTCCCCACTATTTTAAACATTGAAAGATACTCATTTATTAATAGCTTTTCATATTTAAAATCAATTAAATTACAGGTCTTATGTTTTGAAGAACTCTTTCAAACAATGCATCTCCATATGCACTCAAACTTATTGATGAGGTACTTGCACTCAGAAACACACACTAAGTTGTACATATTATTCTGTCACTTTATCCAGAGAGGAAAAACACCAACACCATATTTTCTCCA